TTCGCTCAGCAGTCACTGCTGCTGTGGAGATGGGAACCAAAATCGACCTAGACACTAATACCAAGCATTTCTTGTTGCTACTCCGCCATCTTACCTGTCTTAGCTATTCTAGCTCCATTAAATTTCTGTATTTTATTTTCCATGGTGGAGTTTGAATCCAGTGCCTTGTACATGCTAGGCAAGCCTTCTACCACTGAGCTACACCTCTAGCCCCATATATTTTTAAGAATAATTTTGTCCATGTTTATGGAAATCATGGTGGAATGTTGGTAGAAATGACATTAAGTCTTACAATGTAGTCCCTTCTGTTTTATAAAGGATTGGTCCCAGGTCTCCCATTTCTCCATGGAGATTACAATTCAGGGATACACAGTTCCTTATATGCAACACCATAGCATTTGCACATAACCTATACATGTTCTCGGCTATACTATTGTTTTTAGTGCTTAGGATTGAATCCAGGGCCTTGAGCATGCTAGGCAAGCACTCTACCACTGACCTACATCCCCAGCCCTCTCCTGTCATCCTTTTAAAAAATATACTCAATCTTCATTGGTTGAATTGATGGTTGTGGAACCATGGATACCAAGGACTGCCTATATCAGTGCTGTATCATCATTAACTTAGATTGTCTTTTATCTCTTTCATCATCATTTTATAGATTTCTTTCTTTATATAAGTCCTAAGCATGCTTTGTTAGATTTATTCTTTTTGTTTTGTTTTTTGAGACAGGGTCTCACTATGTAGTTGAGACTGGAACTCACTATGTAGCCCAGGCTGGTCTCGAACTCATAGTGATCCTCCTGCCTCAACCTCCTGAGTGCTGGGATTACAGGCATGCACCACCATGCCTGGGTGTTAGACTTATTCTTGCGTTTTTAACTTTATTTTGGTTAGGGAGAAATGATATTTTAAACTGCCATTTTCATGTGTTCAGGGCTAATATATATTTAGTTTTTATAATATTAGATATCAGTTTTTATGATGTTACATTTATATCATTTTATACTTAGAGTAATTCTTTGGATTCGCGTTTCTATAAAGAACTGCTTTTTTCCAGAAGGCTTGCCAAAGCTTCTTTATTTCTACTGTTCTGAAGTTGTGTACTGCGGTACTGGTCTATTTAATACACTGTACTAGAATCTGAAAGTTCTCTGAACTTTATAACTTTTGTTTGGAGGAAATTGTAAAGATTATTTCTTGGATTATTTTCTTGTCACTGTTTCCTTTGTTCCTCTTTTGGAAATGCCTGTTATCTATATGTTGAATGTTTGAGCCTGATCTTTGCTCTTATAAGATTTCTTGCTTGTGTATACTAATGTTCTTTTCCTTTCTTTTTTTGTGCCAGGGATCAAACTCAAGCCCTTGCACTTGTGAGGCAGGCAGTGTGTTCTTTTCCTTTCTTTTGGGTGTTTGCTCTTTTGATTGTGATATTTTCCTTAATTTATCTGTGGTGCTTATGTTTAAATTTATATAATATCTACCCATTTTAAAATTTTCCATTTTAATGCTAACTCATTTTTCATTATGTTCTTTTGTTGTTCCATGCCTGCAACATCATCTCATCATGAAAATATTTTTTTCCCTTATGTTCTTCCTGGGTCATCACTTCCCTAGATGACTGTTAATCCTTGGCTGTTTTCATAGAGTTGTCAGTTTGAAATAGAAGCTGTTTGAAAAACCTGTGTGTTTGTCATCGTTTAGTGGGTGGTGGGATGCTTTGGTTGTGCTGTTTCTCCGAGTCCTCTACAAGGTAGTGTATTTTCATCTTGCCTCATGGGCTTGTTCAGCTCCCCAGAGAAGACTTCCAGCTCTTGCTCAGAGGATAAAGTTCTGGTGCTAGTGTTGTGAAGCACAATGGGAAAGGAGACATGGAGGAGAGGGAAGGGCCGCTTCAATATTAAGTATTAATGTTGTCATTTAATCCTCTTGATTTTTTTGTTTTCTATTCACCTGTACAGTGTTCTTCTGTCTTACTCTCTCTAGAGAAAAGCTTTTCAGTCTTCTTCTGGGAATGGGGAAAGTGAGTTGTCTAAGAGGCTAAAGATCTTGCGATCTAAGTGTTTTTAAAATAGTCTGTAACAACCTGACCTCTTTATTTTAGCTTCATCCCCTTTCACATCCAATCCCAAGCGAACCTGGGACTCTTGCTTATTGTACCTTTTAAAAGTTCTGTGGTATAAAGTAGCTTGACTCTCAGGGCTTTTTTCCCTTCTACCATTGCCTTGAACTTTCACTTAGGGCTTCTGTATCAGTCGTGACTTGCCTATTTCCAAAATTTGATGTTATTTTATATATTTTAAGACCGGTTAATTAAATATTATTTTCCTAGATTATTTAGGAGGAATAAAATGAAGCAAATGATTTCAGCCTGTCAGCTTAAATCTGAATTTGATTTTTTTAATCAGAGAAGTTTGTATATGTGTGTATATATGCAAATCCTTTTTTCTCCTTTATATAAGAGATATTGACCTGATTTTTCTATTGTTGTATGTATTCGTTTTCCCAGTTTATATCTTCTGATTCATTCCATATTTACATTGGTCATTTCATTTTTTTTGGAGTTGTAGGAAATATTCTGTTATACATCTAAAGTTTTCTCTTCATTTGGTATTATGAACAATGCTGTAGTAAATAATCTTCTCTAGAAATTGTTTATCTCATGCTTGAATATGTGTAGGATAAAATCCTAGAAGTGATATTTTTCAATTACAAAGTATTTGAATTTATAATTTTTGTAACATGATATGCCAACATGTCTGGCTCATGATGAAAGAATTTCATCAAAGTTTGGATTTTTAAAGAAGCTCTTAGATTAATTTAGATGTATGTTAATATAGTTATACATTTAAGTGGAACAATTCAAACTTATTCATATGGATAGTATAATGATCATGGCTAATTTTGTTTCATTAGTGCCCATTCTCCTCCCTCTAGATTATTTTGAGCCATGTCCTAGATAGCATAACAGTTTATAGATTAATATTTTTTATTACTAAGATATAAAGAATCTTAAAAATATAATTGTAATATTGTAGGGTCTCTAGGTGGGCATAAAAATTTAAATAATATAAAACAGATTAATAGGATAAAAGCATACATGTTATATATAATAAAACTTTATGTGTGCATTAAAGTCCTTACAGGAAAATGAAGCCTGAAAAAAAGTGGTTAGGCTCTAGTTCTTATATACTAAGTGGAATAGTGTCTAGGAAGATAAGAATTGGTTTGACAAAACTGGTTTGATCAGAATCCTCTCATCTTTGGCTTTACCTCTTATGATGCGAATGTTACTTTTCTCCTGGTGTATGGAGGGAATCTTTCATATCGGAGTTTTTTTGAAGAAGCAGATAGGTCCATGTTTGCTTCTTGCCTGTTTTACAAGTGTGTTTAGTTTAAAAAAAGTAAAAATAAAGCTGGGTGTGGTGGTGCATGCCTGTAATCCCAGCACTCGGAAGGCTGAGGCAGGAGGATCGCTGTGAGTTCGAGACCAGCCTGGGCTACACAGCGAGTTCCAGGTCACTCTCAACTACATAATGAGATCCTGTCTCAATAATAAAACAAAAAAACAAAAAAAGTAAAAATGCCAAGGTGTCATGTTATGGAGTAGCATACACTAAACTCCTTTAGTACCATTATTAATATAGCTTTAATGAATTTCTCATATTATGTGATTGATTTTTTTTATGGTTCAGAGCCATTTGTATTTTGTCACTTTATTTTATTGAGACAAGGTCTCACTATGTAATTCAGGGTGGCCTTGAATTTATTATGAACCTGGGCAGCCCTTGAACTCATGGTGATCCTCCTGCCTCAGCCTCCCAAGTGCTAGGATTATAGGTGTGCTGCACCATGCCTGGCTGTCACTTTATGTATTTTTTCCTCAGTGGTGATATATTGATTTTATATTTAATAATGTTGTTGAGTTCTCTTATCATCATCATCATCATCATTTTTAATGTTTTTATTATTTTGACTGGTACTTCTGTCATAAGGTTGAATGAGAACAGCAACACTGCATTGTTCTTGTGGTCAATACTGGTTAGAAGGGGAATGCTTTGAATGTTTACCTTTGTCATTCACTGTAGCTTTTATAGTCTTGTTTTCTTACACAAATTAGGTATAGAATTTATTTGAATGCTTTTTTGCATTCACTAAAATGTCAGTATAATGAATTACTTTAGTAAGTGCTAGGCTAGCACCTATGGCCTAGCAAATACACTGCCAGTGAGCTACATTCCTAGCTCTTGTGTGAAACTGTTTCTGGTGCTTGGCTATACCTAATTTTGCTATGAGATTTTATTTTTCTATTATATTTCCATTTAATTTGCTAATATATTATTAGGATTTTTGTATTTATGTATATGTATAAGATTTACTTATAATTTTCTGTCCTGAATTACTGTTAATTTGGATATCATGATCATGCCGGTTTTAGGTAATTAGTTTGTCAGTAAGGTGTTTTCTTTTATCTGATAGAGCATAATAGTTAAGATAGAAATTGGTGCAAATTAAAAAAAATTTTCTTTGGAAGTTGAGGCCGAAGGGTCACAAGTTCTAGGAAAGCCTGGGCAATTTAGCAAGTCCTTGAATCTAAATAAAATAAAAAAGGCCTAGGGATTTATCTCAGTGAAAGAGCACTTGCCTAGCATGTGCAAAACCCTGGGTCCAATCTCTACTACTGTTAAAAAAAAAGAAATTCAATGCTAGTTCAGTATCTTTAATATTTATAATAGATTCCCTTTCATTCTTCATTTTTTCCACTTAAAATATTGTGTGTGTATATCTATATATCTATATGTACACACACACACACACACACACACACACACACTATGAAAGAAACGTATTTTTTTGGTAGTGTTCCCCCAGAGCCTTGTGTATGGTACTGATTGGTACCCCTGTACTGTACCCTGTTGTAAATATTTTGAAAGCATGAAATAAAGAGAGGTATATAAAAATATTTTTCAATTTATATTCTGTTTTGTGCTCTCTAATAGGTGCTCAAAACTGTGATAATTTTGCTGAAAAAAGACCCCTTCTTGGAGTTTGTAAGAGCACTGGATCTTCAAGGTAAGGAAATTTTAAGAATTCAAAGAATCACCTGTTTCAAACTTGTAGTTGTATTCCACAGGGAAAACTTCAATGTTCTGAAATCTTTGTAATCATAAGGCAAGGTTCCCTAAGAAAGAAGAAAAAGGAAGTAAAATGTACTTCAAGTTTTCATCCTTCTCACTATTGTTTTATATACTTTGTGATAGCAGGAGACAAAAGAAAGTCTTTAAATGGTTACTGTCATTTAGAAAAATTATTTTTAGTTTATGTATTTGTTTTATCTTTTTGAGACAGGCTCTTGCTACCTTATGTAGTTCAGGCTGGCCTTGAACTTAGGTGTAGCTCAGTCTGGTCTCAAACTCATGGTGATCCTCCTTCCTTAGCCTCAGAGTGTTGGGAATCCAGGCGTACATCACCACACCTGGCTTAATTTCTTTATTACAGTTTCAAAAAATGGAGGTACTGAATTCGCACAGTGGAGAGCTATGGATTTGAACACAAGCAGCCATGTTTTGAATTCTGTTCAGGCTGCATTTATAACTATGAAGGGTCTTTGGACTAAGATGACAAATAGTTATTTGTCATGAGGTCCTTTGTTGTCTCTGTTTTCTTCATGTATTAAATAGCAGTATTCAATATTCTTCCTAGTGTCTTATAATGAATTAGTTATTATTTTAGTGACACCCCCAACCCCTAATTTGTGTTAAGAATTACGTTAGCTGTTGGTATCTTTGCAGTGCCTGCATAAGTTATAGACTGAGAAACATGTGAATAGGCATTTCGGGACTAATGAAATGTTTTAATGAATTCACTCATTACCTGTGTTCACTCTAGCTCTGTCACCCTTTTAAGTATAAATGCTTTTCCTAATGATCACAAATGGCTGCTACCTTTTCAATCATTGCATCTCCTAGACTTGGACAGTTAGCCACAAGGAAAGTAGGAAAATGATGGATAGTTTTAGTGGTAAGGAAGATGATCAAAATAAATGTTAGTTTGGCAACTAACAGTCTCTGCCGCATGCTTGCAGCTTATTATATGTACTGTAGATCATTGAGTTTTGGAAAAGGCAAGTTTTCTTTTCTTTCTTTTTTTTCTCCCCAGTACTGGTGATTGAACTCAGTATTGTGTTACATCCATTGCTCTATTTGAAATTTTCTTTTGGAATTGGTCATGCTAAGTTGCACAGGCTGGCCACAAACTTGTGATCCTCCTGCCTCAGCCTCCCTGGTAGTTGGGATAGTAGGCATGTGCCATTGTGGGTGGCTAAGGGAAGAATGTTTAGTGATATAATGTGTTTAGATCGTGGGGTCTTTTTTGGTTTCTTTAGCTTTTTGAGACAAGGTCTCACTGTGTAATTTAGACTGGCCTTGAATTTGCTGTGTAGCCCAACTGACCTCAAACTCACATTGATCTTCCTGCCTCAGCCTCCTGATTACTGCGATTACAGGCATGTGTCACCACTCCTGGCACCACAGAATTTTTGACTGTGGCCTTTTGTTTTCATTAAGGTTCACTGGAGGAACAGATTTTAAAATATATATGTATATATGTATATATGTATATATGTACCTATGAATTACAAAGTAGATTTACAATGGCCACTTGCAGAGTCAGAGCTAGAAGTATGCACAAAGGCTATCTGCATGCTGGAGTGCCAGAGGACCCAGTCAAAGATCGAAGGCCCAGAACTCACTGCAGGGTCCCTGGTGAGTCTGTGTCAGGAAGGAGAAGCGTCTGCATTGGAAGAATGAAGAGTGGAGATGGATGTCCAAGGGTGATGAAGACTGGACCTCCTGCCAAGAAGCAAATAGCAAGACTTCCTTCTTCCCCTTTTTATTCCAGCCAGGCTATAAGTGTATTAGTTGTCCCCCCACCCCGCCAGCCAGTCATCCACATGCCCAGAACGGTGCTAAGCTATGCCCGAGGCCTTACTTATTCAAGTTGACACCACAGTTAACTATCACACCTCCTAAGACTACTGTGAAGCAAATACTTTCAAGTGTGAATGTGTATTTGAGTAGAAGCTGGCCTTTGAGAATTTACTGCGTACTGCGTACTGCGAACTGTGCCAGATGTGGGATAAGGATGTAAAACCATGATAACACATTTGCTTTCTTCAAGGATATAAGATGCAACTGAAAAGAAAAAGCACAGCTTATGCAAAAACAGTTATGAAATAATGATGTACAGTTGGAATTCAGAGAAGAGAGAGATAAGCAGAAAGCTTCATAGAGAAGAAGCACTATAGGCTGGATCTTAATGAATGAAAAGTATTGCAGTAAATAAAGAATAATAAAAAGGAATTCCAAAGTCAGTTATAAAGTCATAGTGTACCAGAAACTAGAATAAATACACTTAAGGATGATGAGTGTGACTAAGAATTAAGGCCATCTGCTCTAGGACTCAGCAGAGGTGCACAACATCTGCAGAGTGTTAAGGCTTGAGCAACTGCTAGGCTTTGCACAATAATTGTGGGAATGGAGCTGTGCGTGGCAGTGCATTCCTCTAATCTCTGCTACTCAGGAGGTTGAGGCAGGAGGACCTCCAGTTTCAGGTCAACCTGGGAAACAGCAAGACAGCAGTCTGTCTCGAAATGATTGAACGAGCACCTGAATGAAATGAATAAATGAGTGGATAAATAAATACTAACATGTAAATATATTTTTTTCTTTTTATTGAGTTTATTGGTATAATCTAGGTATACAATACAATTACATTCATCATTGGGATTCCGTACCTTTACATAATAGGTCTTGATTCTCATTTTTTCCCCTTGTCCCTGCCCTCCCTTCATCCCCTCCTCCCCTCCCCATTTACAAACACTTTATTTCCATTTTTCAGTTTCTCATATTTTTTTCCTCTCCCTTATTACCTTGCCCCCACCCTTCCCACTTTCCCTACACCTTTATCTTATAGTCTTATCTTATTCTTTTTTTCATTATTTAGAGAATACTTTATTAGTTTCTGTAATCAAACCCACGTAGATATGTAAAAGAATAATATCCAGAAAACAGCAAAGTTCTGTTGCTGTTGTGGTACCTGGCACCATTTTTTTTATTAGCATCTTAATCATCATCTGGAAAGAGAACATTCTAGAGTAATATCGTTAAATGTAGCTCGATAAAGCACGGTCCCTACTATGTATCATAAAGCAGGTACAAGATATTTTTACATTCATAGAGGTATGATACAGTACCATCCTACATCAATAATACTAGAATCAGTTTTGGTTTGAAATTTACTTTGTCTGCCAATAAGATTGCTGCCCCTGTTTTTTTCTGGACTCCTGTCACATGGAGTATTGTTTTGTATCTTTTCACTTTCAGTCTCTGGACTTCTTTTTGCACTAGGTGTGTTTCTTGTATGCAACATATTGTTGGATTTTGCTTCTTATTCGATTTTGCCAGTCTATTTCTCTTGATTGGTGAGTTGAGGCCATTGACATTGCTGGTTATAACTGATATGTACTGACTTATTATTGACATGTTATTGGCCTTTTGTTGACTCTTTTTACTTTTTCACCTTCTCCTTTTAATTTCTTGCCTTGCCTATTTGATTTGCTCTGTTGGGCCTCATGGTGTTGTTGCCTTTATTGTCTTTTTCTAGGATCTTGTTTAGAATTGCTTGTAGTGCTGGTTTGGTATTTATGTAGTTTCTCAGGTGTTCTTTGTCGTGGAAGTGTCTTATTTCCCCATCCATTTTGAAAGACAGTTTTGCTGGATACATCAGTCTAGGTTGGAGGTTGTTCTCTTTTAGTACTTGAAATATCTCATTCCAGGCTGTCCTTGCCCCAAGGGTTTGTGTTGAAAAGTCTGCTGTGATTCTGATGGGTTTTCCTTTGTATGTGATTTGTTTCTTTTCTCTTACTGCTTGTAGTATTTTGTTCTTCTGTTGGGTTTCTGGGATCTTGATTATTACATGTCTAGGTGTAGATTTGTTTTGATTGTAGCTAGTTAGGGTCCTATATGCCTCAGTTATCTGAATCTAACATGTAAATATTGACTGAAGTCATTAATAAGACATTTCTTTTGGTACTCTAGTGTTTGGATTTTAAGAATCAGAAAAATAAAAAAAAATTCTTTTGCTAAGCAAGGACTTATTAAAAATGCACAAATAACTGTCACTTATCACCATACATTAACCTTGAGAAAAGCAAACTAATTGTAATAATTGTGTAATAGTGAGGATTTAATTTCAAGCTTAAGGACTCACTTGAGGACTGTTCATTAAATAGAATACGGTTAATTCCTTGTATTAATATTTTCTCATTTTGTCGCAACTGCCAAAACTGTCCTCTTGTGTTGGGAAAAATGCCTCAGGGTCGAGTGCTTGCCTGATGTGCACGAGTCCTAGGTTCAGGCTTCAGCACAAGCAAATAGATATCCATAGATGCGTATTTGAGTGTGAACTCCCTAAAGCAGTGGTGGCAAACGTATGTCAAGCACAGCAGTGGGCAGGTTGTTACCATTGAAAGCTCTAACAGGTTCTCTATCGATACCCTAAAGCTGTAGTTTGTTAGTAGAGTTTGAGCACAGTGTCACTGTCTGGAAGTGGCACTGCAACATTATTTCGACTCTTGCGAAAAGTTGTAGTTGTATTACTTAGAAGTAGAAGGAAATTGCTTCGGATAATCGCTCAGTAAGTTTTTGTCCTGAAATGTCCGAGAGTCCTTGTGCACAATCCCTTCCCTTTCTTTTCTCTTGCTTTGCTCTGCTTTTTTTCCTTCCTTCTTCCCTCCCCTCCCTTCCCTCCCACCTCCCTTTTTTCCTTTCGCCCTGTTCACTGCTTGGGGTTGAACCCAGGGTTGTATATGCTGGTCAAGCATTGTAGCACTGAGCTACACTCCCAGCCCTTTTTAAAATTTAATTATGAGCCTTGAAAGGCTGCATAGTCTGGCCTCAAATTAAAATTTCTCCCATCTCATCCTCCTAAGCAGTTTGGGATTACAAGTGTGTGCCACTGCACCTGGCATTTTCATTTTGATTGATTATTATCCTGTTGTATATACGAGACTT